GTAAAAATCTCAGGTTTCACTGAAAAAAAAATGTTTCTATCCTTCATAGCTACAGACTTGGGAGGAAGATGTGAAACTTCTATAGGCACAAAAACCCTAAGTGAAATAAATAAACACCTCACAGTTGTACTAGGGTAGATCTAGGCTGGTCAGAATGTACACTAGCTGAGGATCAGCCCTATTGACTTAAAATGCATGATATTTTAAAAGATAATGTTGTGGTTGTTTGAGGCTCATAGTTATCAGATGGTCGGGGCTGGCAGGACTGGGGCTCCCTCACTGGTAGACTTCCAATCATCCTCTAAAGAGCAGTCTGGTCAGAGAGGACTGGACTGGCAAAGTAGGCAAAAGGAGTTTGTGGCACCACTTCTCAGGGGACAGTGGGTACCAGTTATTGATCTTTAGCTGAATTTTTCAGCAACAGCACAAAAAATACAAATCTACATTTATTACCTTCAAAAAACATATATTTAAGACATAGCTTCCTACCTCTATTGCAACCACTTTCTTCTAACTGGAGGCATTTTCATGTATAAGTTAATGTGTCTGCTGCGTAGAATAACTATGGCATATCAGTGAATTCAGCCATACCGTGATCTATCAAACAAAGCTAGAAATCCCAATAAGGGTAAAAACATCTAAATTGGCCATTTATTTCTAGACTAAGAGGAAATTAAGCATAGGGACCTCATATCTGGGCTCTATCTTTTGAATCTGTGTCAACTGAGGCACACAGAAGAAGGGTTTTGTATGCATGTATTTTATTGAAGAAAAGGACATTAAATTTGATTATATTCCTCACCACCCCTCTTCTTTAGGACAACAGATCCAGTATTTTCTGCAAAACATAATTATGCATGGTAGCTTGACAGCTGTAAAAAGTAAATAGAGTTTGCTCCTTTATACAAGAAAAACAGGTAGCTCACAAGTGTGTGCATTACATTGCATTTAACAGATTCCAGCCTCCATTGGTTATACTATTAACCATAATACACTCCTTATTAGAGCATCATTAGAGCACACAAGGATCTCGGGCGGGGGGGGGGGAAGCAGCATGCAACAGCTCTTCCACATGTGCAATGAGGATGGATTAGGGACCCTGCTGAGACTATTATGGCTAAATGGACAGAGTCTGCACTGAAGGATGCCACTCTGAATTTTAAATCTGTGACATCAAATATTTCCACTGCCACTGAGAGCTTTCATCTAGCAGTAGGAAAACATGGTTTGCAAATTTAACTCCTCCTTTCCCCTGTTGTAAAGAACAATGACAGAAACTTGTACAACAGTCCAAAAAGGTGTTTCCTCATGTAGACTGTTCAGAGAGAGATCTGGATCTGAACAGCCAAACTAAAAAGCCCCTTATATGGCCCTAGAGATGAAAGTGGCCCAACTATGCTTGTTGGAAATGGATCCTTATGTCTTTCTCTCAATTGCATTCATAAAAGTGGCTTCCTTAAGCTCCTCTATGACTGTGATGGGAATTAAAAAAGATGCAGCAAGAAGACAGTGAGTTTGGAGGCTAGTGACTGATTTATCAGTCACAGCTTCTCTTTGTAGCTTATTTTTTTGCATCAAACTCTAATGTATGTATGTCTATCTAAATAATTCCTACACAGTTTAGAAACCATTCTGGTGTATGAGACTTGCACATGCAGAAATTCTTCCATACAAGTTGACCACCACAATTCTTGTTTAAAAAAAAAAAAAAAAAGCCAGAAATAATCACAGACACTGGAAGATTTCATCAAATAGTGTCACATTAGGCCTACTTATAATACAGACTGAGAGAAGGATGCCACAACATTGGGCCAGACACTGCCTGGGATGTTAGTCAGCGACTACTTCTTTCTCAGCACTGCCACCCCCTTACTTTGCATCTTCCTTCTTTTGCGCTATTCAGTGCCCTCTGCCTTCCTCCCCAGTGTACAATTTTAAAATGGTGGCCAGGAGGCTGAAAGGAACTACTTTATTCCACTGCTGCTGGAGAAGGAAAAGGCAAGAGAAAATATGTCCCCTACATTGAAATCTGGGTAGGAAGGAAGGAAGAATGCCCTGGGCTAGTCTGAAGAGTAGCAAACACTGGATTTGATTCTATACATGTATATGTCAGGAGACAGAGTGTACTCGTAGTACAGGAATCCGGATTTTTCCACAGGGATGACATACCATGATATGAATTGTTTATTGAGTGGCTGACATTAAACTCACAAATCCTACCATCTGTGACCTTTTGCAGATGATTCTTTACTCCTATGTCCTGTAGGAAGAAGCAGCTCCTTTTAATGCTCCTCATTCTAAGCTCCACACATTACTATATATGTCATCACCCTAGGTAAAAAAGCTGCTCCCCAGCCCCTTCTCTGAACTCTCCAGATATCAGATATAGGCAGATAGATCTAAATATTTCCTTTTACTTCACAGAGTGTAGGGTTAGAACACCAGGGGAAAATTCTGTTATTAAATTTATGCCCAGAACTGACTAACTCCTAATCACCTAGGCATTGCCTCATCAGGATCCATAAACTACTATAAAATAGATGTGCCCCCCCCCCCCCCCCCCCCGCCTTTTGTGTCAAAAGCTGTCCCCCCCCCCCCCCCCCCCAGCAGGTTTTGAGGGCAGAGATAAATGGGGCAAGCATTCTCAGAACACAGATCGAGCCCCGCAGAAAGTGGCTGAGGAGAAAGTGCTATCATCCCTGGTCTTCAATAGCTCAGTGGGTAACACACTAATCTACACTGCCAGTGGGATATCAAGGTTCAGTTCCCTCCTCTATTTGAACTTGCATCTCCTAATGACTGTGCAAGCATTCAGTATGTAAGTAGTCATTGGACTCAGGTCTCCCCTTGCAGAGGTGAGTACCCTCACTGGTAGGTTATAGAGTCATTCTGTCTTCCTCTCGGGCCCAATGAATAAATATTCCATGCAAAGTGGTTCAGCTCCTATGAGACAGAAGCTTACTAATCCACCTCTGATACTTCTTCAGTGTTTGATTATCCCATGTAGTATGCTACCACATTGTATGGGAAGGGAAATGCATGAGCCACTCTGAACTGTTCATTCATAGCATGTCTATGTTGCTGCCATGGTGATCCCAAGACTGCCACCAAGGACCAGCCCTGTCCACTTGTGCCCACATCACCCACTCTACTTGCCAGAGGCAGGACTTTTGTCTTGGGCATACTCCTGAGAGTGGTTCCTGGTGCTTCTGGCTTTGCTCTAACAAATATGACATGATTTTTTTTCAGCATGCCACTTGGGGGACAGGAGTGGGTGTATGAGGCAAGTATGTCTCTGGAATAGACATGCCCCCCGCAATGCTTTTTTTGGAAGGCTAGGCATCCTATGAAAGCCCTTCACACTCCTAAGTGAGCCTTATCTTTTACTATCTCAAGTACCTTCTCCGATATTTGAATGTTCCTTATAATCTCAGATGGATAAAAAGGTATCAGCCATCATTAACAAACCATAATTTTAAGAAATATACACTAGACAGTAATTTAACTTTACCTATGACACTATTTTCACATATTCGTAGAAGGAAAAAGATGTTGGTTGCTTAGGAACAATTCTTTATAATAAAAAATGAATCCATGAACTCCTAGGATTTCTTAAAGTACATCTAATGTGTTTGTTTACAGGGTGGGTCAGCAGCTGAGTAGTGCAAGCTGGTGTGAGCGTGTTATTCCTGTGCTCTGTGGACTGCATTGACTGTCTGCATTTCTGAGTGAAAGTGAAAGAGCTGGGTGTAGACTACAAAGACTTAATAGTCTAAGCCCCAACCAGTTTGGTATCTGCCATTCATCTAGGCCCTACTCTATCACATGCACGCAGTGGGAAAACTTTGGCACTCTCTGCTGTGGCTGAAGCATGCAGGACAGGTAGGGCATACTCGCTGACACTGACTGGCCTTTGGAATTTGCTCCCACCAGAAACACTTCTAAGCCCAAATTTAGCCAAACCATCTTGTCCTGTCTTTCTGCTAACTAGTGTTCCCAGGCAGTCCTACCTACATGCAGGCTGGGTTTTCTCTATCTCAGGCTCTTGAGGAGAGACTAGTGTTATATCATGGATGGATTGTGCCCCCATACCCAAGATTGATACCTTTTTGAGGGAAATGCTTATTTCATACTTGACTTCAATCTTTGTATGGTTCGTAGACATACTATGATGATGGATACGCTAGAAATCTGGGGAATAATCCAAGTAATGTAGGAGTTTGTGAACTTGAGCTCCTAAATGTGTACCCACTATCTTGTTGGTACGTACATTCTGATATTACTAGCTGTTTCTTAGGTGTTTGACTGTGCCAAGGATTTCCTTGCAAACTGACCTGGCAAACAAAAATGGCTGTTTGGTGCTAGGTCTCCAATTTGTGCATAAATGTGTTTATTCACACTTGAGTTTTTCTGGGTTTTTTGATGTCCTTTTAGGCATGAAAAAGCAAATAAATATTTAGGAGCAAAATTTTATGTGTTCAGATTTGTAGACCATTTCTGAAAATTGAAGTTTGCAATACACTGCATAAAAGAGCTCACTGAATGGTCTTTAATCTTGGGGTAAGTTTCTTGTTCTGTTTCAACCAGGGAAATGGTCATTCTTTGCCCGTAGTGTTCTTTTAGCAGTGAATTGAATTAAATAAAGAGGAAAAGACTGCTATTCCAATAGAAACACCATAAATTAGGGACAAGAAATTAAAAACTGCTCAGAATCAGCTTCAATGTACATGGCTGCAATATTGTTGTTTCTTTTTTTTTTCTTTCAAGGAATACATTAGAGTTGCTAGGAGAAACTGTTTCTACTCCAGCAGACCTAAATCCCATTTGCTTGTTTTTTTCATTTATGCTACTACCATGTTCTCAGACATGAGTACATGCTTTTAGAAATGACAAAATACCATTGCATGGCACGCATGGTGGGTTTCTATATCTTTTGGTGTAAACCCAGAAGTAAGGGACCAAATATGTCTATAAGAACAGAAGTGATCTCCTGGGATATTTTAATTAAAAGAAAACCTTCCTTGTAAAGCTAACTTATCTGTGATGCCCATTGGGATGTCTGCCAGGGTGGAGCAGGTATTCAGTCGGGAGGCCCTGTGGGACATGATACTGGACCTTTTCTTCCGATTGTAAAAATAGTTAGTAACATGGAATCGGAATTTGTCATGAAGGGAGGCATAAATAAAGGGGTTGTAGCAGGCAGAGCTCATGGCGACCAAGTGACAGGACACTTGAATCACATTCACATACCTCTTGTCCAAGATGGTGAATTCCTCATCTATGTCTCTGATAAGGTTTACTACCTGAAGAGGCAGCCAGCAGATGGCAAAACACATGACTGAGATGATGAGAACCCGGAAGGTCTTTTGCTTTGTTTTGGTCCATTTGTCTTGATTCTGGTAGGCAGCCCCTGGGACATTCCTTTTCCTGAGGTGGTAAGAAATGGCCAAGTAGGAGACTGACACTGCTGAAAGTGGGAGCATGTATGATAAAAGGAGCATTGAGCATGAGTACACCAGCCTCTCTCTCTCTTCATGCTTCCAGAATTCTTCACAGATGATCATGTCATGACCAATCTTGTTGAGATCTAAATAGTGGGTGTGCATGGATGTGGGTACAGAAACTACAATGGAAAGTAACCAAATAAGGGCCACAATGTACGTACAGGACTTGCGGCTTAGCCGTCTGCGAATGGGATAAGCAACAACAATATAACGGTCCACTGCAATAGCTGAGAGGGACAGCACAGACACGAAGACAGTGGCAGCCTGCATCAAGGTAACAAAGTAACACATGAACATCCCAAAGAGCCAGCCACGGACCTCAAAGGCATAGGATGCAGTCAGTGGGACACAGACAACACACATGATCAGGTCAGCAGCAGCCAGGTTTCCTATGAGGAAATTAGTGGTGCTGTGCAGCTTTTTGGTGACAGCAATAAGGAGAATAAGGAGGAAATTTCCTGTGCAAGCCACAGCTACCAGAGTGGCATAGAGGGGGATGAAGAGAGGCTTCAGGTCAAAGAGAAGGTCAAGGCCAGTGAACACAGGGGTCGAACCATTCTGCCAGGAGTCATTTGGTAGCTGACTCTGTGCCATGTTGAAGCTCGTGTCTAAAAGATGTTGTTTATCCTTGCCTTAAATAAATTCAAGAAGAGAAAAGTTTGTTAGCCTTACAGCAAAAATATTTGTTCTTTTCAAGTTCTGCCACAGTTTCTGCCTGAGAATTAAGGCCCAGGTCCTCAAGGGTGGCCAAGGACTACCAAACCTGCCCAAGGTGCTTTGAACCACCTCTGTGTTTCATCACTTCTAGCCTGCTATATTTAGAATGGAGTTTTGGCATGTGTTAGAGCAGGGGGGGCAATTATTTCAGGCGGAGAGCCGCTTACTGAATTTTGGCAAGCCATCAAGGGCCGCATGACAGGCAGCCAGGGGCAGATAAATATTAATTTTCTAAATTTTTTAGGGGCCCTTTGGGCCAGATAGAATGGTCTGGCAGGCTGCATTTTGCCCACCCCTGTGTTAGAGTAACCCAAAGGATACTCTGAATTGCATAGGATGCTGATGGCTCCAAGCAGCTGTCATGACAGAAGGTAATCAACCGAATGAAAGAAAGCCCCAGCCACTCATCCCCCTTCTCTAGCCAAAAAGAGTCACTAAAGTACAGGAGGGTCTTTTCACAGCTGGTTACTTAAACTGTAGGGTTCTTGTGTGCTGGAAGCAAAACACAAAGCAGCTGGAACCTCGTGAAATACATTGGAACCCAGCCTCTAACTTCCTTGATTTTTTTGACACTTCATCTCAAGTAGGGCCTATGCCCCAGAGACTCCCAGTGGCTGTGGAGAGGACTCGGAGTGAGTCAGCTTGTCAAAGCCGGAGGTGGTACAATTAATCTCTCATTCAGTCATATATGACCTCTTTATGTTGCTGTACCTAAGCCCATATATTATTTCATTTCTTTGCTCTGCCACAGAGGGTTGTTGTGAGGGTAATAGTCTTATCCTCCCTCACCTGCTCTCCTCTGTTTTATTCCTGAGGAGTCCTGCCATTATCCTGCATCATAAACAGGAAATTGTCAATACAACTATGTAGAGTGCCAGGGAGCATATTTCTGAGACATGCCACACCTAATCCATGCATGCTGCCTCCCAAACCAGACATAACCAACAATTGGGCATGCCAATAAAGTCTGTTTCCCAGCATTTGGTAGTTGAAGGATATTATTTAAAGCAACCTGTGGCCTACTCTAACTTATTACAAGAGTCCTCTCAGCAAAATTTAATGGTGCACATGCAGCACTACACTAATTACAGTTCAGGAGGAAGTACATACAGCAGGTCTCAGTACAACATTGCCAGGTGCTGTATTTGAGTGGTAGGGACATGCACAGAGAGGTAGTATGGCTGACCCACAGTCACATAAGAATGCAACAAGAGGGCAAGAAGCTGAATTCAGGTTTCTCAGGTTTTAGGTTATATCTTAGTGCTGGTGTCCACTTGTTCATCTTTTCTCTCTGGACCTCTACTGGTGCAAAGGGGCCTTAAGTTAGGTGTTTCACTTCCACAATGGTGCAAACTAGAATTGGGCTCTAAGTTTTCTAGAGAGAAAATATGAAGGGAACTCCACCTGATTTTCTATGGAAGCAAAAAGTAGCCTCTCAAGACAGCAGCTTGACCCCCCACCACCAGCCAGAGGGTGAGCAAGGGCAGTCCAAAATGTCACTGCTGTTCAGCTCTGCTCCAGATTTCCTTGCAGCTAGGCAATGCACTATAAACTTAGCTAAGAAGTGAGTGGTTAATTATCTAAGCATAAATCTCTGAAAAAATTTGCTTGTCATTACTGTGAACTTAGAGAAGCTCATCAGGCTTCTGTCTTTCAAATGGTTGGACAGTCATTTAGAGAATCTGCACATTCAAGTCACTTTTTTATCATCTTCTCTCCCAAATCTGTTTCTCAACACCAAACCCAGCTCTAATTCCAGCCTGTCTCAGAACTCTCTCTCCAATCTAACCACCTCCCTGACATTTCCTTTTAAATGACCTACCAACATTTCAAACTCAACACAGTAGTAAACAGAACTTCTTATCTTCCCCCCCAAACCCTTTTCAGGCTGGTCTCCAGCTCAGAGGGAGGGATGTAAACTTGTTTTGTGCTACTGTCTCTTCCTTTCTCAACCCACAGCCAAGTTCTCAGCAAACCATGAGCTTCCTTCTCCATGTCACCTCTAAGTGTCCTATTTTTCTTCTGGGAAGGCCATCCCCCCACCCCCCCAACTCTTGTCTTTGATTGCAGCTTCTCCTTCCTGTCTAACCTCCTTGATTTACATCATTTCCCACTCCCAGTCCATTAACATTGCTTTTGTTAAAATCTTTTCCTCTCCCACCACTTCCATGAAGACCAATTCTTCACGGTCCATGCACAATAACTTACATTTTTACATGTGTGTGTAAAATGCTATTTTATTCAGAGGGCCCTGGCTCACCATATTCACACCAGGGTAATCTGCCTTTAAACAACCATTAAGCAGGAGCAGACCCACAACATAGTCCTATGCCTGTGAACTGAGTTGAACCTGGTATAGAACTTCCTTGGGGAAAAGAAACAGGTGTAAAATTACACTGGCAGAAATGTCATATCTGAAGCTATCCCAGGATAGGTGTCTGCTAAAGGCAAGATGATGTCAAGGAACTATAATAATACCTACTGCATGAAGCTATTCTGATCACCTGTCTGCTTGAGATCCTGGTATATTTTACACCAGTGTACAAAATGTGTACATCAGTGTATGTGTGTTTTAGGTCCAGGCCCTGACTTGGTAACATTTTGCACTGATCTAAGTATGGTATTATACCAGGTGTGGAACAATGATGAATCAGGCTCTGAGTCACCCTTCTCTTTGACTTCCACTTGTCTCCTAGTAATTCAAGCTTTCCATCCCCCCTGAAAGGACCTGAACAGCTCTGTGCCAGTCATGGCTTATTGCTATAGTTAGATAGCCTTTTTGTTTTATGAATTACAAACACTTAGTTTTGATGGAAAATCTCTGATTTCTCTTTTAAAACTCTTCATAATTGAAGGGAATAGTGCTGCCTCAGATTTAATCCTGGGAAGCTCATTCTGATCTCTGCTGATATAAATTAGAAGTAATCCACTGAGCTCAGTGGGATACATGGGATCATAAAACAGATACTAAGCTTTTTTAAATCTGTGAGAGAACAAAATAATACAAAATTGCCAGGGGCATATTCTACCCTGAGACTTATACTCACATCTGCTTGTGCCTTGGGATGAAAATATGCCCCTATCTTTCCAGAAGACAAAATAAATATTGGTCTGGAGTGTTTGGAAGGGAGTATATACAAGAAATTTCTCAAATACAACGAAGTCGATAGCATCCCAGGATGTAAAGTCTCTGATGTCAAAACCTTAAAAGTTTCTTCTGTGTGAGAAGAGCACGGCAGAACCTGGGCTGGTGACTTTGTAGATCATCTGTGATTACTTAATTAAGGCTGAAAAGAGTTTGCTGACTCCTACTTACCTACCAATCAAGTCAAAGTGGAAATTCTATTAGTTCTTTTGTCCCTGTTCATGTTGATCTGTGAAAACAAAAATCGGTTTTCCTATAACTCAGGGTTAGACAACATTTTGGTTGAATTTAACTTGTGCTATTTAATTCACAGAAGTTTGTCCATCACAAAGACCTCTTGTTGCAAATAATGGTGTGATATTGTTCTTGTTTATAATGTTGTGATGTGCTATAAAAATAAGACAGGGAAAAGTGGAGTAATAGGTGCAGATGTGTACATGCCCATCACCAATTTATTGCAATAATTCACATGCACTGAATGTGTATTTTTCTGTATAAATATACTGCCTGCTCATGTGTGCACCACCTCCTCCAGGAATAGCTCCTCCACTCACTTATTACAGAAAAGGTGGCAGTGCTAAAGTCTCTAAGTTCAGTAGAAATGTGGTTAGCTTGTAAAAGCCTGACTGAATACCTGATAGACAAGAGTACCTTTCAAACAGGATGGCATGAACCACTGTAGAACTCAGTGGCAGACAGAAGGGGTGTTCTATTAAATTCTACAGGATGCTCCAAAAATAAATGGAATAAAATGGATGTTCTCTAGTCAGTTCACTAGGAACCTGCCTTCCTCTTTGTCAGTACGGCAGGTATCTGCTCCCCATACCCACTCCTTGCGGGCCAGGGATTCCACCCCCAAATGATTCATACACATTCACACAGGATCCCAGAAGTTTAGGGCTGGAAGGAACCTCCTGAGATTATCGGGTCCAGCCCCCCTGCTCTGGGCAGGCAAGACTGCTGGGATCAAATAACCCCTGCAAGGTGTCCATCCATGCTGAACTCCAGCCTTCTACCAAGCGGCAAAAAGGGGCATGGTCTCACCTCTGACAGCCTGGAGGCCTGTCCTGCTTTCCCAGCTGTATGAATGCAGCCGAGTTGTGGAAACCCTCCGGGGCGCACAACTGGAGCACTGGGGGAGCAGCACCTACGGAGAGCAGGAGATGAGGGAGGCAGCAGCGCGCTTGTCCTCCCCTCTTATGAAGAGACCTCCAGCCGGGGGCTGCGCCCGGCCAGTGCCGTGCTCCCGAAGGGAGGTGGTGCCCGGGGGTACGGCCACTGCATCGTCCTCCGTCCGCCGCGCTCGGGCCGGGCCGGGCCCGGGCGGCAC